GGGGGGGGTTGCATCCTTTTATAAGATCTATACCACAGTTTTATTCCACATTCAGAAAAATTCAAAATATTTTTAAATTATAGTGATAAAAAAAAATATTTTATTAACTACATGATAAAATCAATGATTTTAGTCATAAAAATTACACCATTGAGGCACTGACCACTATCAATCAACAGCACACACCAGTCTTGGATTGTCACCCTCCCCTGGAGAAYACGTAAGACGTAAAATTAATTAAAAAAGAAACAATTTAGATTTTTTTATTGATAGGATAGGGAGTTGTGTGGCAATTTCTATAGCAATAGTATATTGTATATTTTTAATTGTACACTTTAAAAATAACTTTGTTGTTCTCCCCCCCCCCACAGTTGTAAAAATTCTGGCTGGGTCACTGAACCATTGTTCAATAATCATTAATTATAATTAATGAAATATAATTATAATAAATAATAATTTAATAATTAATAACCTGTAACTAATTTTCCTAGTAACTAAATTTAAATACAGTTTTAAATCATATAACTTACAATAGTTTGATCATTAACATTAAGTTGAGCTTCTTCATTTAAATTTGTCTGTTGTAATAATCCATTCAAATAAAACTTTTTGGTTGACTGCACAGACATGGGTACCTGTACACCAGCAATTTGACAACATTTGTCTGGGTCACGAACCCACCGTTCTAGTAAAATCTCTCTAGAMCATTCTACAACATTAAAGAAATATTTGAGTAAAGCTAACATGATGTATTTTTAGTTAGATAATGAAAATTTTACCGTTATTTCTAAGCAATGCTTCAGCAGTAAATAATGGCAAATTTAACATATCAGCAGTTTCTACCAATAACTGATCTTTTGCTTCTTGTAAGTCTTGTGTGCGCAACCCAGCATACGTTTCCTCCTCTCCGAAATCATAATCATCCACAACAGTGAATATGTCTTTTAGGTCTTCACCCTTATTTAAAAAAATATACAGATTTCAATATATTTATTTTATTTTATATTATCTGGTTATCGGATGCCATCCTAAATATTTTAATAATTATAAGGTATGAAAAAATAACAAAAAAAACTTACAAAAACCATTCGAGACTCTAATTTACGAGCTAAGGTTTCATATCCATTTTTCACAGCCAAATCACAAGCAGTCTCTTTTTGGTTATTAGTCTTGAATATTGGGGCTCCTCCGTGAGAAAGCATCAAATCAACACAGTACTGTAAACCTGAAGCCGCTGCCAGATGTAACGCAGTGTTTCCATCCTATTAAAGTTGTGATTAATTTTAATATATTAAGAGATTATTATATTTATTTTTAATTAAATTACATTATTTTGAACACTCAGTCGTATTTTCTCTCTCCTTCCATCTGATAACTCTACCCCTTGCCAGTTTAATAATATTGTTACACAGGCAGCACGGCGTTCTTGTGCAGAGTAAGGGCTTTGTGGAGGAAGAGAACAAACTGCATGAAGTGCTGTTTCATTAGAATTATTCTTTTTATTTGGATTTCCATTATGTTCATTTAAGAAAGCCCTATAATTCATTAATAAATATTTATTATTACATARACAATAATTTAATTAATACAGAAAAAATTTACCTTAGTAAGTGTTTCATTCCATGTTTTGCTGCATAATGTAAAAGAGTATTATTGTTATGACTATCTCCATAGCTCCAATTTGGATCTAGAGTTTTAAGTTCTGGAGAGTTTGAATACATCTACAAAATAAAATAATTTAAAATGATATAGGTACTAACCACTTTTTTTTCCATAAAATGTTTAATATTTACCCGCATAGCAGCATATTCATCCCCTCGTTGTAGATGTTTTTTGAATTTGGTAGATGTACCACCCATTTTGTTTTTCTTTTTTTTATAGAATATAACATATCTATTTGCTTTCAAATATTCATGCTTTTTTTTTTTTATATTACATTTTTCATGATTCTCATTCTTATATCAACACTAAAATTATAAAACCATTATAAATTAAGTACAACATTTATAAACATTGGTCAATAACTAATAATATTATTAAATAAATTTAATTTACATATTCAGTTAACATATAAATAACAATAAAAAAATATGTATAGGTACCTATTATATTACGTTTTTTTTATTACAATGCAATTGTGGATCATGTAAGAAAGTAAATGTAGATAACCTCTTTTGATAATTTATATGTGTGCATATAAATAATAATAATGGTTTATAGCATTTAGTATGTAAACAGTAGAGTATATTATTATTATCTAATTAGTACTTATCCAATACATTCAGAAAACTCGACACAATTATACAAATACAGCATATAATAAAAATAAATATCTCATTTACTTTTGAACAAAATTATTATTGAAGAAAATATAAAAAGCAAGAAATAATCTAATATTTAACACTGAAATATTCAAGTCAATAATTATAACAAATAAGTCTTCAATATTTATACAACTATTAAATGTWATGAAATAACAACATTATACCCATAATAATCATACCAAGCAGAAAAAAAAATACTCTTTTATTGTATTATCTTTTGTTAACCATATAGATAAATAAAAACTGTTAATAGCATATGAAATTTACAAATTGTATCTAAGAGTAAATTAAACTTTATAATTTTAAAACAAATTTTGGGTTTAGTTTTGTATTACTTTAAAATACATTTTTTAACCAAACATAATA